AAAAAAAAAAAACCGCTTGCGGAACAGGGAAGACAAGAGACAAGGGACAAGACGTCTGCGACCACAGATGAGCAGATGACGGGGGACGAGGCGAAGGAGGGTACTACTGACCGGAAGTGCTCGGCGAGCAGGCAGGCGTTGGTGTTGGAGTCGTCACCGCCGATGACGACCAGACCGTCGAGCGAGAGCTTCTCCGCTGAAGCCACGGCCATGGCGAACTGCGGAAGGGAATACGAAAGAGAGAAAGGCAAGAAGAGGAATGAACGACGGGAAGGGAAACAGGAAAGGGTGCCGTCATAAATAGATAACGAAAGAGAGCCAGCCACGCAGACACAAACTACTTTCGGAAAACAAAAGGGCAACAAAGGCACATGAGAGCGATGAGCTGCGGAGCAGAGCCAGGCACGCACCTGCTCGGGGGACTCGATCTTGTCGCGGCCGGAGCAGATGATATCGAAGCCGCCCTGGTTGCGGTAGGGGTAGAGGAACTCCGCCGTGATCTCCACGTACTTGCACTTCATCACTCCCGCTGGGCCGCCCAGGAAGCCCAGCAGCTTGCTCCCTGGCACCTTCTCCTGCAGGTAGTCTGATGGTGCAAGCGAAAGGGCATGGCAGATGAGGCAACAGATAGGGGATGAGGGAGGAAGGAGCAGTGATACAGACGGGGAGTTAGAAACACCGCTGAGATCCCGCCGTGGCTGTACGGGAAATTGCGAAATACACATACTGCGAGGGTTTCAGAACCATTGGTTAACAGGTGCTTCAGAAAACGGCAACGAGCAACGCGCAACACGGATCTCAAAAACTCAATCCTAAAACATCTTATACCAGTCCAAATCAGGAGGAGACTCACCGAAGAATCCCGCGATAACATTGTGACCGCCGGGACCCTGCCCTCCGGACAGCACGACGCCGACGGTGATGGGCGTTGTGGGTTCCGAGAAACCTTACAAATCAACCTCGAGACGCCGCAACTCTATACTGGGACTCTTGAATATAACCAGAGTCAGGAAGAGACTAGAGACTCGAGACTCACCGAAGAGACCCGCAATGACGTTGTGGCCGCCAGGGGCCTGGCCTCCGGACAGCACGACGCCGACGGTGATGGGCGTGGCGGGTTTCGAGACGCCTCAAAACAACCGAAACCAAGAGGAGGCTCGAGACTCACCGAAGAGACCCGCAATAACGTTGTGGCCGCCGGGGGCCTGCCCTCCGGACAGCACGACGCCGACGGTAATGGGCGTGGCGGGCGCGGCGGATGCGCCGGCCGGAACGAGCTTCACTGACGGCTGGCCGTAGAGCGACGGGAAGAGCTTGGCGATCTCCTCTGTTGAGAAGGGAGCGAGAAAGGTGGATGAGGAGGCAGGGGAAATGGAAACGGAAGAGGTGAATGGCAGAACGAGCTTCAAGGGAAAAATGGAGAGGAGCTTCGTGAAATCCTCTGAAGAAACAATGCTTATGGAACAGCTTGAGTATGCGGACCAAGAGAGGAAGAAAAAGGGAGGAAAGAAAAGGGATGAAAGCCTACATATGGAACGACCAAGCCACACGGCAAGGAAGGGACGGATAGATAACGATTACCAGAATTAATTATTGCTGATACGGTTCCTGTTTTTGTGCATCTCTGTTTACGCAAAACAGCATGCAGTCCTGCAAAGCATTTGGTCTGGTTCTGCTCGCGTAGAAAAGCATCCACCCCAATGCTAACATCAAAAGAGGCCTTCGCTAAACGCATCGTCGCATGGACGGCAAACACGAACCGCACGTATGTACTAGTGATATGAGATCCGTCAGCGACCCGTACCATCGTTGCCGGCGGCCTTGGTGGGAGGGCCCTTCTCGACGACGCAGGGCCCGTCGAGCATGGAGGGGAGCGTGGGGCGGTACTTAAGGCGAGACTGCTGCAGCTCGCTGTACACCGAGATGTCTTTCGACAGCTTCGACGCATCGAGACCCTCGGGTAACGCGACGCTGAGCCCCATGGCTGCTGCTGCTCGTAAAATAAAAATCGCCTAAAAGGCGCGGAAGCCTGGATTCAGTATAGCTGTGCAAGACAGCGAAAGCAGCAAGGTGCTGCAAGTGTGGAGGTGAAAAGAGACGGAAACTGAGAGTACTCTTCGCAAAAATGGATTTACAATCACAAAATGCGGTGAGGAGGATTTAGCATGAAAGAGATTCTCATCCCATAGCATCACAACACCAGCAGGCCATGCAGCGCTGTGTAGCATTAGGACATGGATATGTGCCTTGGGTAAGGCTCGGTTTGGATGGTTTTGCTTGGGTTAGGTGGGTTATGGCTGCTGCGGTGTCTGTTCTGCTCGCTTGTTCCCTGCAGATTCTTTTTGCACCCGCCCGTTCGCTCTGCTCTGCCATCCCCCCTCCGCACTTTCCCCCCTTCTGCCCAACCAGAATCTTGGAGGAGATGCCCTCGAGAATTCCGCGACGGAAAGTACACCGCGGAGTGTACATTTGCGCCATCCTGCCTACGAGGCATTGTGCGCGGAATTCCCCGACACGGGTTCTCGCGCACCATCCCGCTGCGTTGACTTCATATTCCGCACCACCACACCAGCCGCCATGGCGCTGGGAAGGCAGTTGCCTGCCGCAGCCACGCATTGTAGCCTCCATTGCCCTGTCAGCATTCCCAGCAAGAATAGAGGAGCGGATCTTGGCCTCCTTGTCGCATTAGCGAGTTTTGATTGGTAGCACGTCATCCATGTCCCATCGGCTTTGGGGGGATATTGGGCCGCTTTCCACGACATCTGGGATGCCGCTACCTGACGTGGGGATCTTTGGCCGTGGGGACGAAATATCTACCATGAAGAAATCTCACTTACCGTATGGCCCCGGATATAGGCGCCGGCGCTTCTATCTGGAGCATGGCGCTTATAGAGGATCCTCGATTAGAAGCGCACCCCTTTTCAGGTCTGAACTTATTATAAGCGCATGTGCAAAGTCTGTTATCTACTTATCAATCTAATTTCACAGAACATTACATTTTTTAAACAATTCCTAACAAGAGTTGTTTCACCCTATCAATTTCAAGGTTCATACACAACAGCCTACTCAGGTTGAACCAGCTACTCAAGTCCGACTACAGCCTAGCTACCTACTCCTCCTCGTCAGACTCGGGCTCCTGGCAGTTGTTGCCAAAGAAGCCGTCAGCGATGATGTCGTCATCGACATCGACTTCACGAGTCAGCTGGCTTCGCCTGTGCGCCATGGCAAGCGAGTCCTCGCTGCCGTCAAGAGCGTTGCTGATGCCACAGGTGAGAAAGGCGCGCTTGATGAGGTCCGCGGGCACTGCCTTCCATGCCCGCGAGATCCACTTCACTACCACCGCAGGAGGCGGCTTCTTGAGGTTCCCTGCACCAACAGGCAGAGACACATCACTCTCGTCAGTTTTAATAAACGGTTCACGAGAGCATGTCAAGGAACGACTGTAGTTCTTCTATGTAAGCTTACCTGCTGCTGTCAGTCGCTCTTGGCCTTCGTCTTCAAACCACTTCTGGTACTGCTGGCGGACGGAGGCCTTGAACGACTTGTTGATAGAGACGTCCAGCGGCTGAATCTCCGCCGTACAGCCTGCCGGGATCACCGCCGGCACGATGTTGAGCTCGGCGAACTTGTCCTTGACCCCTTGGGTGAGGTGACCGCGGTAGGAGTCGAGGACCACCATCGCGCTCCTTGCATGCCTGCCGAATCGAGGCCTAAGAAACGGTTGGACGCACTCCTCCAGCCATCGGATGACGCCTTCGGCGTCCATCCACCCGTTCTCGTGGCAGGCGACGACGACATCTGCACAATGATACACGGGCAGGGTGGTTAGCGACGATTTAGTAAAGCAACGAATCAACCCATTTAAAGTGCAATTTCTTACCGGGCGGGAAATCTCCCTTCGGCACTGTCTTGCGCTTGAAAAAAACCCATGGTTTGAGTTTCTCCCCATCCGCCGTGCACGCCAGCATCACGGTGACGCGCTCCTTCTGGTATCCCGCACTCCGGATGGGCACCGACCGCACGCCTGTCTGTTCCACGGTGGTGGTGGCGGGCATCTCCAGCCACAGCGGCGTCTGGTCGGCGTTGATGATCCACGTAGTCTCGATGCCGCGCTCACGCCGCCTATCACGCACGTACTGCCAAAACTTGCGGCACATCTCCGCGACATCTGTAAAAAAACGAGGCACATAAAGAAGATGCGTCAGTATACATGAACTGGAACGACCCACAGGCTTGATACACGGTTAAGACTTACGGGCTGCAGTTTTCTGGGCGACGCGCGTCTTCATGCGGACGCTCAGATTCCACCGCTTCCGAAACCGTTCCGACCACCGCTGGCTGCCCTTCCACTTCACAAGCGGGTAGAGCAGCTTCATGAACTCGTGCGACCACTCCTGCAGACGGCCGACGGAGACTGCTGTTCCCTTGCGGCGCCACTCCAGTAGCTTTTCGTACACCTTCAGCTCCATCGGGCGGTACCATGAAGACCTCCCGCGGCCGTGCATGCGCTTCCGTGCGGCGTGCACCTCCTTGAGGAAATCGGCGGCGCGCTTCCACTCCGTGAGACACTTCCGGTGGATGCCGCTTTCTCGAGACAAGGAGCGCACCGACACCCCCACATCCAGCCGCTTTATTATTACACTTCGCATTTTACTCACATATTAGGCGAACTTCACATACGGATAAAAGAAGCTGTTGATTTATGGTGGATGTAACGGGAAGATGCTGCTAGTGGATCAGAGAAGAATGCCCATTTGAAGGGGCATTACCGTATGAGTTGTACTAGAGCGTATACTTCCATCAACACTGGACCACAGGAACCCTTTAATTGTCTTCCCGTTAGTCATGCCATTAAACATAGGGAAGGAAATGGAAAGCAACTCCATTATAAGTTAGCCAATCTTTTGGCCTTATAAATGGCGACATGGAAAGGCACCAAGCAAGAAGGTGAATTCCCCTTTGCTAAGACAACGTACATCCACAAAAGCCCTGACCTGAGGTCAGGTGATCAAACCACTGCTGGTTTGCAGCTTTTGATTGCTGAGGTACGCCTCTACAAGTGCGACATCCTCCTCCTTTCTCTTTTGATACACGCCGTAACGAACAAAAAAGTAGTCCATGTAGTCAAAATCAATGGCTGAATACTTGGACTGCGGACACGCATGGGATGGGAACGTACAATGAACAGGTAGAGGGAAGCAAGTGCAAGAGCAGTAGATCAAGGAAGACTTCAAAGAAACTTCACGCCACAGTCGTATGACTGTCATTCAAACGAAGATTTGTTAAGTGAGACGCATAGCATACAAAGGTGCATCCTCACTAAGAACAAGCAAGTGGTACAGCTGGAAAAGTCTAGTAGTGAAACATATTGGAAAAAGGTTATGAGCGAGAAACAGTCAGAAAGACATGGCGGTTACCTGAATGAGGGACCAGAGGCACCAGAAGAAGTGTGAGGCGAGGGTGAACGCGTTCACCTCCAGATACAACCTGTCCAGATCCTCCTGAGAAGCCTGCCATGCAGCAGAAATAGGGGGAGCAGGCCTTATCAAAACATAGGAAGGAATACTGCCAGGGAGGGAGCAGAGGCGAGGGTGAACGCATTCACCTCCAAATACAGCCTGTCCAGATCCTCCTGAGAAGCCTGCCATGCACACGGAATGCAAGAAACACGAATAGGGAGGAACGCGAAGAAGGAGGAACGATAGGCACTATCAGACAAGGGATGCACTTACTGAATCAGGGCAAGCGCATTCACCTCCATCAGGGACGCATGATTGCAGGCAGGGATACAACCATTTCAACTCCGCCCGAGAGGCACTGGCAAGATGGCATCGGGAATTGGTGCTGTGGCCCCAGCATGGAAGTTGCACCAACCATACACTCTCATTGCTCCAACCCCTCCCACCTCCCTCCCACCTCCCTCCCACCTCCCTCCGCCTCCCTCCCATCTCCCTTCCACCTTCCTCCCACCTCCCTCCCTCCTCCCGATAGGTCACCTTCTCACACACAAGCGTTAGATTTAGCTAGTCCTTCTATTGATGGGGCTTGGCCTTGCCTCTTGCTGCTCCCTCCCCCACCTCCCTCCCACAACCTACCTTGCTCCCCATCAGCATTCCTACTGTAACCACCACCTCCCCATGATGACACACCTTCTCAGGAGCGTTGGGGTGCAGGTAGTGACGAAAGAAGTCGTGCTGGTGGGCCTTGGAGGGAAATCTGGGGGGGAAATGGGGAGGTGGAGGAGGAAGGGAGGGGGCGGGGGGGGGAAGAAGGAAGGTGCTGGAGAAGGGCAGACAGGTGGAAGCATTGGGGTGCAGGTAGTGACGAAAGAAGTCGTGCTGGTGGGCCTTGGAGGGAAATCTGAAGAGTCACAAACTGCATCGTTTCACCTTGGCTTATTCCCACCTTGGCTTATTCCCACCTTGAGTACTCGCACTCGATTTCTGAGGCGCCTAAAAGATTTACCTTGGCTTATTCCCACCTTGAGTACTCGCACTCAAAGCCGGCGTATTCACAGAAGTGGTTTGCAATGTCGTAGCCCCGGGGGTTGTATGCTGCGTATTCGAAGTCAATCATGTGCATCACAGGGGCACCTGCACACAGGACATGAGGTAACATGATTTGGGTGGCTTGAGGGAATCACAGGAGGATGCAACGGGGATGTCGTAGCCCCGGGGGTTGTACGCCGCCGCGTACTCAAAGTCAATCATGTGCATCACAGGGGTGCCTGCATGTACGTAGGGGATCAGAGGAACATGGCATGTGCATCGCAAAGGGAAAGACGTTTCCCCGGGGGGTGTACGCCGCGTACTTAAAGCCAATCATGTGCATCGTGCAGGGGCCTGCACAGATGGAATCAAGGAGGCATGGAAGGGAATTTTCATGGTACATACTTTGCATGGTGATGTGAAACATTGGCATAGAAATTGGCATGGTAGGTACATATGTCAAAGCCTTTCCTGACTCCCGTGTGTAAGATGCGACCGCATATTACCACAATGTTACCACATGTTGCCACCACACTTCCACCCACCACATTACCACCGTAGTACCATCAAAATATCACATGTTACCACATGTTACCACATGTTACCGCATGCTACCGCACGGTACCGGGTTGCGATTCGTCCAGCAGCAGGTTGTAAGCGAGGAGGTCGTTGTGGGCAAAGACAATGGGTGAGTGGAGTCGGTCCGTCAGCTCCTGATGAGAGTGGTGTGTGAGAGAGAGAGTGGCATGGGTGAATGTATGTATGACTTTTGGCACGCGGTGAAGGCCATGCATGTACACAAGGAGGTCGTTGTGGACAAAGATGATGGGCGAGTGGAGTCGGTCTGTCAGCTCCTGATGGGTGTTGTGGGGGGCGGGCGGGCGGGCCGCGGGCGTATGTGTGTGTGCGTGCGTGCGTGTTTGTGTGTGTGTGTGTGTGTGTGTGTGTGTGTGTGTGTGTGGTGTGTGAGTGGCAAGGGTGAGTGGCATGCATGCTGGTTCATGGGAACCATGGAGCCCAACACACACACTCTCACTCGCTCGCACATTGCATCGCAACACAAATGAAGTCAACACGACTCTTACAGCTCATGTGGACCTTACAGCTCCTGAAGTCAACACAACTCCAGCTTATGCTTGCAAAGTCAATGGAGTCAACGCGAGTCTGCAGCTTCCTATCAACAAGGTGCAGCTTCCCAGCCCAATCTTTGCTTCACACACCTTTGCTTCTTGTATCTCGCTTCTCAGCTTGGCAAAGTCAATGGAGTCAAACCGGGTCTGCAGCTTCGGGTCGTCATATTTAAGCTTTTCGGCTGAAGACGCTCTGACGGGGAACGGGGGCAAACAGTAACGAGTACAAATTGAAACAACCAGCATGGCAGGCAAAGCTCGATCATGACAAAGCTTGTGACCCAGCAGATGACAAGCGACCGAAGATGGTCATGACAGCCAACAGCCCCATAGCACCCAGCAGCCCTTGCCTTCCATATATACTGATATATATGTATAGTTTCATATACAGTTGTATATATATTTATATGTAATTGTAATGACTGGAAACGTTGCTAGGCACCCAGCAGCACCAAAGCAAGCAAGCACCCAGCAAAGCGCATACCAGTATACAGCATGTTGAAAAGCGTGTGCCATAGGTGCAACACCCTACACTCCTCCTCCATCCCCAGACAGACCGAAGTACCCAACAGCACCAGAGCACCCAGCAGAGCACCCAGCAGCAGTATGAAGCAGCAGTATGCAGCACCCACCAACATCAAAGAACCCACCAGTGTGCAGCATGTCAAAGAGAGCATGCCACAGGTGCCCCTCTTTCCGCTCCTCCTCTGTCCCCAGAGGCACGTCCAGATGGTGCAGGCGGTGCAGCTGTGCCGCTATCAGGTGTGACAGTGGCGGGGTGCACATCTCTGCATGGGGGGTGGGGCACGGGATGTGGGAACGGGTTGAAGACATGGGTTGACACATTGTTAGTGCAATGCAACGGACGCATTGATAGGGTAATGCAATGGAAAGTCCATACCGGGTGGAGTGAGCGTGCGGCCAGGCAGGTACGTCTGCACGGTTCCATTGGTGAAGCTCCCTATGAGGCGAGGCCCAAAGTTTGCTGTTGACAGCGCCCTGAGTGCCTGACAGGGGGCAGGGGTGGGGGTGGTGTGGTGCGGTGTGATGTGGTGCGGAGAGGTGTGGTGTGGCATGGAGGGGTGTGGTGTGGGGATGCCATGCCCCTGCCCATGCCCGCATTCTCACATCCATGCCCAATCCACGCCGATGCCCAAACCCACGCCGATGCTCAAACCCACGCCCATGCCAAAGCCCACGCCCACGCCCACCTCACCTCCCATTCTCTGCTCCGGTTGATGATTTTGTCCGTATCTGGCCCGTATATGCGCACAGTGATCGCCTCTGATTGGCTGCTGCCCTCTCCGCTTTTCTTGGATGATGCCTCCCCGTTTTGCTCTTTTTCTTTTCCTTCCTTCGCCTGCTTGCTTTGATTAGCTTGCTCCACTTTAAATACTGCCAACTCAGGGAAACAAGGCCCACAAAAGGGGAGACTGTAAATTATGAGATTGGGGTCTTTATAAACAGGGATGCATGTGGACCATAAAGACACAGAGGGGAAGGGGGGGGTTAGAAGTAAGAAAGGGGGGAAGTGGAGGAGCAAAGGAGGGAGGGCATCGATTCTGCAATGAACAGGTTCCTGGTATGCAAAGCCGATGACTAATGACATCCTTAGACTCACTCAGGTTGGTGATGCCACTCGAGATGGTGGGAACCTGCAGCTTTTGCTCCTGCAACGGAAAAAGTTCCTATCATGCAATGCTGCTTTGAACTCACTTAGGTTGGTGATCCTGCCCGAGATGGTGGAAACCTGCAGCTCTTGCTCCTGCAATGAAAAAAGTTTCTATTATGCAATGCTGCGAATTATGGCTCTCTTTAGACTCACTCAGGTTGGTGATGCCGCCCGAGATGGTGGTAACCTGCAGCTCTTGCTCCGCTAGGTGCTGCCACGCTGGCATGAGCCTTAGTGCAATGTCCCTGGGGAGGAGGGAAGGGGGGTTGGAAGAGAGAGATGATGGGACGCGGCAGCCAATGGTGGAAACCTGCAGCTCTTGCTCCGCTAGGTTTTGCCACGCTGGCATGAGTCTTCGTGCAATGTCCCTGAAGACGAGGAAGGGGGAAGAGATGGAGAGAGGGAGACGATGAGACGCGGCTAACAGCTTAACCTGCAGCTCTTGCTCTACGCCGATCGAACCAGACACTGCCATGCCGGCATGAGTCTGCGTGCAATGTCCCTGGGGAGGAAGGAGGGGGAAGAGAGAGATTCTGGCAGGCCAACATAAGGAGGGATCAGACTCACATAAGGCTGCGGAAGATGTACTATGCGTGTGATAACCCTGTGTGCTATGACTGTGTCCTAAAGACCTGCGCGGGGAACATACTGTGGAAATAAAACATAGTGATGGTGACGCTAACGCGTAATTCGTGATTGAGAGCACCTGACAGTCCACCTGGAATAACCACCTGAGGCTCCGCGTAAGGGCACCTGTCGGCCTACCTGACGGCTTTCTCCTTCTCTTCCAGAGGACTACCCGGGTCGATAGTGACGTCCAATACAGACAGGCTCGCACTCGATGGCTTCGACGAAAGACGTAGAACAAGGACCAAATCAAATCCTTCTTCTACATATGTACCTGACGGCCTACCTGACGGCCTTCTCCTTCTCTTCCAGGGGACTACCCGGGTCGATTGTGACGTTCAATACAGGCAGGCTCGCACTCGCCGCCATGGCTTCAACGACGGAGGGAGATGAGGACGAACGGAATCAGGGAAACGGCCTGCGGAAGAAACCAAGGGAATACCACATCCACTGTTGCCTTCTGTTACAAACAGTCGGTATTGCTTTACTTCTACACTGAAGCAACGAATGGTATGAGCTCTCCCGAAACAGGTTTTCGTCGTGAACGGATTTCAGAAAAAGTGGTTTGCGAGAAAATCGTCAGCAAAACGGCGGCGGTGAAACCGCTGTGAGACTGACTGATTGGCTGGCTGACTGACTAGCGGGAGTTGAGGAACCAATTGCCGTCCGGCGAAACTAGATGGGGCGTTCCGTTTGCGAAGCGAAGCTATCGGCTGGATCTTGACGAAATATCACCTCTCGCTCCTCTTGATTTCGTTTCAATTAGCGGAGAAACGACAGGGGGACCCAAAACACATCTGCCCAAGTGCATCTGTTACAGTTACAAGAGTGCGAATCCACTACCGCTACGCCAGCGGAAACAGCTGCTTTGCGAAACTCGAAAGTTACGAGATATGTAAACCAGATGTGAAACCCGAAACTCGCGTGGAAAACTACAAAGTACGGGCTTTAAACTTCAGTACTTATGAATCTCTCACAAAACCCGAACCTAAACCCCACACTGGCCACCACTCCCAAGTTCTCAGTCCATCCTGCCGCGTAATGCTCGTTAGGCGCGCCCCGCGTATCCACTTACGACTTATGGCGAGGCTATTTGGTGATTAAACGCCACTTTTTGCCGCACTATCTTCAAATCTTCGCCGTAAACTTCTCCAAGCCACCTGATTTTCGTTACCAGTAGCTCTACGAGACGACTTCGCGATGATAAAGCGTCGCGACTATCGCATGCTCCATCGCGAAGACGGCCCCGCGGCCGCCTCCAGCGACGAATCGAGCTCGTCAAGCGACGACGACGACAATGTCGCCTCGTCAGGTGGGCGATTGAACGCGACGCTCGAGCGACGTGCTGCATTGAACCGAGAATAGATGGCACCGCGACGACGGTCCGTCTGGCATTTTAGTCGAATCGAATGCCATCTCGCGCGTCTTACAGCGTCCTTTGCTGTTATATCTCTTGGTCTGAAGCTGCTTCTCTGCTTTCCGGCGTTCCCGATTCCCAAAATTTCTGCTTTCCTGCCTTTCTGCTTGACTTGACACACTTCGGACGACGAAGACCTTCCACCCTTTCGCACCCTCCTCTTGTTTCCTTAGCTCCTCCACGCTCTCCTTGTACCCGTGCCTGCTTACCTCTCCCTCCCCCTCTCCCCTCTCCCCTCTCCCCTCTCCCCTCTCCCCTCTCCCCTCTCCCCTCTCCCCTCTCCCCTCTCCCCTGCCCCCGCCTGTCCCCCGCCTGTGGTGCAGAGGAAGAGGCGGAGGTGCAGGGGGGTGGTGGGGAGAGCGAGGAGGGAGAGAGTGACGAGGGTGGAAGTGACGGTGAAGAGAGTGAGAGTGACACAGGGGATGAGCCAGAGGAGGAGGGGAGAGGAGAAGGGAGGGTCTCTTCTCAGTGGGAGGAGTTAGTTTCCGAGGAGGAGAGGGAGAGAGAGGAGGAGAAGCGGAGGAAGAAGAGGAGGAAGAAGGGGAGGAAGAGAGGGAGCAGTGACAGTGATAGCAGTGCAAGCGACGATAGTAGTGAGGAAGGGGAGGAGGGAGAGGAGGACGGGGAGGAAGAGGAGGGAGAGGAGGGAGAGGAGATGGGGGAGGAGGAGGGTGGCAAAGCAGGGAAGCGGAAGAGGGAAGGCAAGGAGACTGGAGAGGCATTTAAAGACATGGATTTTGGGGAGGGTGGAGAGATGGTGGTGAGGGTGGTGGGGCAGGGAGGGGGAGGAGGGGGTGTGCTGCGGTGCAGAGTGTGTCCTCGAGTGCTCTGTGTGAACAGTGACAACATGAAGAAACACCTGGCGTCCAAGGTAACCTAAAGACACAACTGGCATAACATGAAGAAACACCTGGCGTCCAAGGTAACCTGAAGACACACCTGGCGTCCACCGTAACATGAAAAAACCTGGTGTTCAAGGTAACCTGAAGAAACACCTTGTGCTGGAACAAAGCCCCTTAAGTTCTAAACCCCAAGCCCTTACCCCTGCCTCCCTGCCCACTTCCTTCCTGACCTCCTCCTTCCCCACCAGCAGCCATGCTTCCCTGCAGTGGGCGGCATGGCAGGGGTGAGCTGCAGGTGGTGGTGAGCGGTGATGGGCAAATGGAGAATGTCAGGGGTTCCATCCATGGCTCCTGTCTCTCCTCTCTTCTCACACGCACCCATATTTCTTCCCCCCACAGAAGCACGTGGTAGTGGTGGGGCGGCATAGGGAGGGGCGAGCTGCAGGTGGTGGAGAACAGCGATGGGCGCGTGGAGAGCTCAAGGTCTGCTTATGACCCAGAGGGCTGCGTACATTCCATCGTTGACTCCTGCCTTCTTCTCTCTTCTTCCCCCATGCCCCCTCAACAGAAACACCTGGCGGCGGTGGGACGGCATGGGAGGGGCGAGTTACAGGTGGTGGTAAACAGCGATGGGGAGGTGGAGGCCGTTGGGGAGACCCACGCTGAACGATTCGAACGCACCAAAGCTGCTGCCGCAGCCGCTGCTGCTGCTGCGACAGCGGCAGCGGCAGCATCTGCTGCTGCATCAGCTGCTGGTACTACTGCTGGTGGTGGTGCTGCTGCAAAGGGCGCCAAGAAGCAAGGGGCGGATGGTGGAAGGCAGAGGCAGCAGCGCCGCAAGCAGCTACAGCAGCAGAAGAAGAAGAAGAAACTGAGCGCATCAGGTGCTGCGGGTTCTGCTGGTGGTGGTGATTCGCTCGCTGCTGCCGCCGCTGCTGCTGCTGCTCCTGCTGCTGGTACTGCTCCTGCTGCTGGTCGTGGTGGTGGTGTGGTTGGGACGCCTAGGCTGCCTGGGACCCTTGGGGACGCAGCTAGGTCAAGAAAGTCCAAGGGTGGTGCTTCCAAGACGACTTTTGGGTCGACTCAGACGGATGGTGCTTCCAAGGTGACTTTTGGGTCAACTCAGAAGGGTGGTGCTTCCAAGGCAAATGACGATGGCACAAGCGCGAGAGGCGCTGCTACGCGGTTGTGTGAAGGTGCTGCTGCTGATGGGAGTGGTGTTGGTGGTGTTGGCGAGAATCGGAAAAAGGGGAAGAAGTTGAAGGATTCGGTGAAGGGGTTGGGGCAGGGGAGAGGGTCTGCACTGCCAGTGACACTGAGAGGGAAGAGAAAGGCTGAAATGGGTGCTGGCAAAGAGGGAGAAAATGGCGTGGAAGAAGTAGAGAGTGGGAATGGATAAAGGAAAAAAGCAGGTAAAGGGAAAAGAACAGCAGGCAAGAGTACATAGTGGCAGGGAAAGTAACAGATGTGTTATACGGTACATGTGTCTGTTAAATCTAAGGAGCGGGTGAAGTTTCTTGGCTCTTTTCGTTGAAAGCATTCGTAGTTGTTTTGTAGCAATATATTGTTCATTACGAATCTAAACCAGGTCTCTCAAAATCGGATACGATCAACATCTGAATTCGCGTCACACGAGGCAACAAATCTGTGATACCTGTCTTCGCTCCACTCTAGGCGCGTGATTTCGTTTGCTTCTCTGTAGAGACGTCTGCAGAGTGTGAAACATGTGTCAAGAGAGCGACGCGGTCGCGAAATAGTTGAAGCTGACGGTTACTAACAGATATCACGCCGCTTTACCGGCGCGCAAACAGGGAACAAGCGTGGTCCAATGTTCATCCAACACGTGGCAGCACTGTCAAAGCGCCGGATCGTTCTCGCGTCGGCATCCCCTAGGCGACGCGAATTGCTGTCAGGCCTGGTAGGTGGGCCTAGGCTACGGCGGGGCGATAGGGACTTCCCCCCGCTACCCCGCCTCTTTATTTCAACCTTTCCCGCCGCTTTCTCTCCCCCTTTCCCCGCCTCTTCCGCTCTCGTTTCTCCCAGGGGCTAACTGTTGACGTTATTCCGAGCACGTTTAACGAGGACCTCAATAAAGCAGCATTCGCCAGCGCAGGAGGTATGCCACAGCACCACCTCGGTCTTTACCCTCCCAACCATCCTTCATTGTTGGTGCCAGAGCAGCAATGCTGCTCCCCCCTTGCATGTGGCTTCCCGATCTTACTGTCAAACTGCTTAGCGTCTCCTTATCCCTTTGCCTGCATGTCATTCCTCTTCTTTGGGGTCGACTCAAAGGCCCTACTTGTTTGTTTGCTGCAACCCATCCCCCTCATCCACCTTCCCGCCTTCCATCTCCCCACTTGCAGCAGAGACAGCTATCCACAATGCCATAGAAAGGCCCTTCTTCATCTCCCTCCCAATATCTCTGAGTATTCACAAAAGTTATTTCCTCTCATCCGTCTCCCCTCCTCAAGTTCCTCTGGCAGTCTATGCAGCAGAGATTGCCTCGTACAAGGCCATAGGAGGCACCTTCTCATCCCCCTTCAGACATTCCATCGCATGCCTTTCATTTACGTCTCTTTCCTCATCCCCCTCCCCTCCTTCCATCTCCCCCCCACTGGCAGACTACGCAGCAGAGACGGCCACGCACAAGGCCATAGAAGGCCCCTTCTCATCCCTCCCCTGCGTTACATCTCCCTGCACTCTCTCCCCTCATTCCGTCTCCTTAACTGCAGACTACGCAGCAGAGACAGCCACGCACAAGGCCATAGAAGTTTCCTCC